CTAGTCAGTGCATCGTCATATTTACTCTCGCGTCGGAAATTTCTCGCAACACTAATTTAATAAAGGCAAAACTCTAATAAAAAGGAATTTAATGTCAAAATTGAATTTGATATTTTATTAAAAGCAAAATGACTAATTAAAAATTCTTTACAATGGAAAAAGAATATATTGTGAAAATTAATTAAAAATAAAACATCCTCGGGCGACTCCCTCCTCAGAGTAAATTTTCAAGAATACGCAAAATGTGTTGAAATAGATCACTCTGACTTGGAAATCTACCCGTCACGAATTGTCTTCTTGCACATAAATTGTTCATTTTTTCATGAACGTTTAAGTAAGTTAAACTTCGCTATTGAATGAATGAAATTTTAGAAAATTCTCAAATTATATTTGAATTTATAATATACAAAATGTAATTAAATCAATGTAATAACATCATTAATATGTATATCCAGTATACATATTACATAATACTATCAATATTATATTGCTTTGAATCATCGCAATAACTAAGTCAGATAGTATTTGACTTCTCTATTACAGACAAACTAAATAAAATTGTTTCGGTATTCAAATATTCTAATTCCACATTTAAGAACATTTAAGAACATTTAAGAGCATTCACATATTTCAAAAATAGCTATTAGAATATGTGGAATTGAAATGATATTAAAACGCGGAGTACAAGAAGACCTAGCCTAACTAAATGAAATGAAACAATAAAAATGTTACTACTCATGGGTATGTATAATCATACCCATGGTCACTATGCTTGCCAAGCACGTATACAACTAGTAGCCCGTGTCGATTCGGACCATTCGTCCTACGACATGATTGGGCACCAGAGGAACCATAAAACATGCGACTCACCGTTCGCAGATATACTCTTCTTCCGACAGTCAAGTAGGAGGATGGACAACACCAGGTAGGAGGCTGCCTTGTAGGAGAATACTGAAGTCGTGAAGAAATTCATCTGTAACAAAAAAAGAAGAATTACGGTTAATTTTGAAAATTATAAATTTTTATTCTAATAAAATTATATATGAAATTGAATTTTATAAAATATTAGCAATTAAAAAGAAATCTCAATTATCAAGGGTTGAAATTGTAAATTATTCTATTTTAATAAAAAGCAATTAAGTGACGTACCAAGACGGAAGTCGTGAAGAAAGCCATCATCAGCATATCCAGGAACTCGGCAATCAAAAAATTCATCTATAACAAAACAAAAAAGAATTACGGTTAATTTTGCAAATTATCAATTTTTATTCTAATAAAATTATATATGAAATTAAATTTTATAAAATATTAGCAATAGCAATTAAGAAGAACTCTCAATTATCAAGTATTGAAATTGTAAATTATTCTATTTCAATTAAAATTAATTAAATAAAGTAATAAGATACTTACACTCTTTCCTTATGGAGCAACGCCCAAAACTCCTCTTCAGTGGTGCTTTGACTCTAATCCCGAATATATCGAGCAATTAAAAAAAAAATTAAAAATAAAAATAGTAACGCGACCGTGAATAATTTCCGGCGAACAATTGTAAAGACTCCAATTTCACGATGGAAAAAGAAAAATCAGAGCCGCGATGCTCTAGAAAATACTTTATTATACGCAGCAAACACTGACTCTACTTTCGCGTGATTCCTAACTGTACAAGCGCAACTCTATTCAGGGCCAGTTCACCCTTGAAAAAATCAAAACATTGGAAATATGTACGTACAAACACTGACTCTACCGACCGCATTGCGCGCGGCCACAACGATTCCTGAAAGAAAAACTTAGTGAACAGGGATGGGCTGGGTGGAAATATACAAAACAACATTCTTCTTATTGAACATTCGTAACGGAAATACTGTTATTAATGACTTGTAAATGAAAATATCTATGTTCGTGAAATATATTCGACGAGCACAAATATTGTTAAAGCTGAATATTGATCCTAGATTGAAATGAAATGTTTTGAATAATTGTTGATAATTATTTCAATGAATATTACATCGATAGAAAATCATTTTGTAATAAAGATAATAGACTATTATATTAAAGCAGAGGATTTTTGTTGTTAAGATTGTAAGCATACTACAAATTGTTGGAAATTCTTACAGCATGATTTATAAATTATCTAATTCTTTTCAATAAGCAAAGTCCAATAATTAACCATGCTTAAACAGCATGTGATTTAAAAACGTAATTCTATTTTAATTTAAACTTGCATCGAAAACTGGATATTATAATATAATTATTACGATTTAACAAAAATAGATTGTTTAAAATAATTAATAATTGCAGAAGGGAAGCAATCATTTGCAGTAGAATACGAATTATTTCAATTTTGTTCTAGTTTAAAACAAATGTATTAAAATACTGGACGAAATTATTTAATAAAATGAAAAATTAATTATTCTTTTTCTATGAATTGGTTAAAGAAAAAAAATGTCTAATCTTTTCTTTCTTGACTTTGGTAGCAAGTAATTATCAAAAATGCTTACAATTAACAACAACTATAAAAAACAAGTAATAATAAATGTTAATAATTGATTAGAATAAATTAAAACAATAAATTCTTACGAAATTCTATTTCAAACCCATATCATGGCGTCCTTTCAATATCCATCAAATATCTGTAACAAAAAAGAAATACGAATTTATGTACATAAAATGTAATCAACAATAATAAACGATCGAATTATAATTTATGCAAAATATTTTAATAGATACAATGCTCACTTATTACTTATACGGAAGGATGCTCTCAACACGTCTTGTCACTTCGACGTTCGCGAGAGAAATGGCGAGACCTTCCTTCCCGACGAAGACCGGTCGGCACCGCTTCGGTATTATTCGGTAATGTTCGTCCCCAGCCAAACCGAAGCCGGTAGACGAACAGATCTCATAATATTACGATGCTCAAGAAAGAACGTTATTAAATATCAAACAGTAAATTGTGTGAAACAATATTAAAAACGTTCACTATTGGTTAGGAAATTAACGATATAAAAGGGAAAGTAATTCAAATTCTGCTGTTCCAACCTTATTGTACAATCGCGGCAAGAGCACAAACTTTCAACTCTTGTATTTTTAAAGATAACCTCGAATTAATATCAAAAATCCGGAATCTAGACTTCTCTCCAGCTATTCTTTCTATTTTTTGTACTTTTAACACCCGAAAGACAATTTAATTTAATGTTTGAAGATAATTTAATCTTACCTGTTGCAGACACGTGCAAGACAAACGAAGCTTCGAAGAGGAATGCTGTACTGCGTCACAAATCGACGCACTTGCTCACACAGCGACGTGTCTGATTGGTCGAAATGAGGGGACGCCAACATGGGATGCCAATCACAGCCATCGATAGAAGTTTCAAAGTGCTTCGAAACTTTAATACTAATCGTAAGGGAAAGGTTCGTTAAAAATTATCGACGCCATATTGAAATAAAATCAAGATTACTTTTCTCAACTTTAAACACCAAAATATAAGAAACAAAGTAGAAAAAATATAAGATATTGACAGGATTTAAGAAATTATTCTTATAAAAGCAGAATAAATGAAGGAAATGTTATTTTAATTCGTATCTATATCGGCGTAATAGTAAAATTATCACGATATATAACAATAAATTATGGGAAAAATGTACTAAAAACATGAAAAAATGCAATAATATTCGAAAAATTATTGATATAAAGGGAAAATAATTCAGATTCTGTTCTTTCAACTTCATTGTCAATTCACGGCAAGAGCAAAAAATTTCATCTCACGTATTTTTAAAGATAACCTCGAATTAATGTCAAAAAACAAAGAGCTAGACTTCTCTTCGGCTATTCTTTCTCTTTTTTGTATTTTCAACACCCGAAAGACAATTTAATTTAATATTTGAAGATAATTTAATCTTACCTGTTGCAGACACGTGCAAGACGAACGAAGCTTCGAAGAGGAATGCTGTACTGCGTCACAAGTCGACGCACTCGCTTACACAGCGACGTGTCTGATTGGTCGAAATGAAAGGATGCCGAATGAAACAACCAATCACAGCCATTGGTAGAAGTTTCGAAACTGTAATGTTAATCGTAATGGAATCGTTCATACAATAAATATCAGCGAAAAAATCGAATAATGTACTTTTGTTAGCAACACCCGTCTTGTATTATATTTTATACTATTGTAATTATGTAATAAATAAAGGGGAATATTGCTTTAATAACACTTTCCTATGGCGTGATTTTGATACGAAATATTTAAGAACATATTACTTCAGATATAAATTTTGACACTTATGTGCAATGTATGCATAAGCGAAATGTTAATATGTACAAAAATTATAATCAATCGATTCGGTAGCCGCACACATATTCACATATACGAGCGCAGAAAACGAACAAACTGCGCCCTACAGAAAAAACGAGGAACTAAATTTGTGGTCTGTTTTACCTTGTTGACGTCTTTCGCGAATGTACAGTCAACGAAATCGTAGTTCTTGTACGGGAGGATGGGATCCGGAAAATTCATCGCCCGCAATTCACCGCCGCGTCAATTCACTGCCAGCAATTCACATCAATTTTCACAATTTAAAGCAATTCAAATATTCAAATATAAAATTCAATAATGCTTAAGAAATTACTGATATAAAAGGGAAATAATTAAAATAATAGTGTTCCAACCTCAATTGAAATTCAACTTACGCATTTCTGAAGACAATGTGGAATTGATGTTGGAAATGATGAACCTGGTCTTCTTTTCATCTTTTTCTTCAGTTCTTCACACTTCTGATATATAATATACAATTTAATATAATATTTTAATACAATTCAATCTCACTTTGTTACAAACGCGTGGATTCAGGACAAAGTTTCGAAGAGAAGTGATGTACCAAGTCAGACCCCGCGTGCATAGCTAACAGCGACGATTCTGATTGGTCGGTACTTACGGCCCAATTTCGACCAATGAGAATCGTTGCCGTTGGCTATATGTATGGGCAGGTCTGACTCAACTACGTCATTTCTCTTCAAAACTTTGTCATGAGTGCACGTCTCTGTAACAAGTGAGCTTAAATCATTTTAACATATTATATTAAATTGTGTTTCGGGTATCATTAGTTCAAAAAACGGAAAGAAAAGTTGAACAGGAGTCCTGTTTCCTGATTTCTAACATCACCTCGGCATATTCATCAGAAATACGTAAATTGAAATTTTTACTATATTACTCTTACTTTTTACTCTTACATTCAAGTTGGAACACTATTGTTTTAATTATTTCCCATTTATATCAATAACTTCTTAAATGACATTAAATTTGGTATGTTCTTGTTACTTTCTTTCTTGTAATTTAGTATTTTAAATTGATAAACGAGGTCTTGACTTTTATTCAAATATGACGTTTATAATCTTCGAAACTTTTTAGCAGTAAATTCAAATAGCCCATCTATTTCAACCAATACTTATTAAATGATTGTTATTGATCGACTTAATTATTAATTACAGAATGGTCGACCAATGCTGATGTTTCCACACTTCATATCACCTACTACTTAAGAGATTATTCGCATGATGCTGCCGTCCACTTACCTTTCCATGGCCGCTCATCAGTTCGGTGAGTTTAAGAATTAAAAATTTTATTTTTATTTTAATCCACAAGTGGATCTGTACTCATGGAGATAGGATTTTCATATTTTGCTACATTTTTATATAAAATGAGCTTTTAAGCTACGTCGATATTTCAGAGCGTGGAACAAGCTCTCATAAGATAATAGATTTTTCCAGATCTTATTATCATAGGATAATAGGTTCATTTTGTGTCTCGTTTGGTGGTATTAACGTATTTTAACCACGAGATGTCCTTCCGCTCTTGCACAATTCGATTTTAATTTTATAAACGTAATTCAGCATAATAAATTAGAAATAAAATAAATAATATGACCAGTCGGGTAAAACTATTTTTTTCTTATGCACACATTATAGTTTTTCATTATAATCATATTTATGAAAGTGAAATATTTTTCTTTTTTTGTATTTCTGCAAAGTGCTTTACTACCATAATTATGATATAAATTGTAAGCTTATCTTATATCAATGGAAATATTGCTATTGAGTTATCATCGCTAAAAATCAATAATTGGATTATTAATTGATTAGTAAAAAAGAACAAAATATAGTATAGGATTTCAGGATTTCAATGATGATATATAAGACATTAGTTGTTACTTCAAATATATTTGTTTCGAATTTATTCAGTAAACGAATCGTGTAAATAGAACCGCAACCATGATTAACAATGATCATGTATAGTTAATAGTAGTGTTTAGCGATTAATATTTTCATTTGTAATATATAATTTTGAAGATCCTTTTTCTTGTTTACAAGTAGTATTATACAATGTAATGTGTAACAATACACGTTATACCTTTCGCAAGCACAAGCTCGAACGTACCTTATCTTAAGGCTTAAGGGATATGTTACCATTGCTAAAAATCAATAGTGTTTAATCTAGACAAATTTTCCTATTTAGGTTTTTCCATTCAATGAATCTATGTATTTAATTACACATGTAACACCGAGATCATGAAACTGAGGAGTAAGAGTATACGTACAGCGAATCGAACTGTTCAATGAAGCACAGACAATATATCTTCACAGTTCTATTAGAAAAAACTTTTTATATAGACTGAATCAATTAAAACTACTATTAGAAATCATTCATTTCTCTTGTCATTTATATTTGCATTGGTGTAATTAAATAGGGGTCAGGGTGGTTCTGGTTTACTCTTGTAAAATTTTATCTTAATGGAAATAATTATTTGGGTTAAAACGCAATAAAATAAGGCAACTAAAAACAAAAAACACAGAAATTTCTTAATAACTTATAATATAAACTTATTCAGTTTCCCAAGGGATTTTTATATAACTTTTCTTAATTGCTTTTCATTTCACACAGCCATTTTAAATGACTCAGTCTGTATAGTAGTACAATATACGTACATAAACGCTTGAACAACTCCCTTAAGTTGATAAGTAAAAGTGTTTACAATTTGCGAGTGTTTCGCGATCGCTTGAAACTCGTATGATTTTGATTTATGTTCAACATGACGGTACGCACGAGCATAATTCCGAAGTGTAATTAGGAAGGGCTTGGCAAGGGTTATTCCTCGAAAAGTTTCACCTTAATCGATAAGATACAAAGATTCAATGCATATACAGGGGGAAGTGAATGTGCCCTTATCATATCACAGAGAGGCGTAACAAAAATATAAAACAATTTAAACTTTATAGTATTTTTTTTTTTGTATGAATTATACACTCATGCAACGGCTACGCTGAGCGATTCGAACCACACGTTGATCACGATTATAACTTATAAGGCATCGTAATTTATAATGATAAATTAGTGTTACAAACGTATTTCAGAAAATATTGATTAAAGTTGTAAAGGTATATTTTAAAAAGAAAAGCTGCTAGCTGAAATATTAGGTCATTGCAAAAGTCTTTAGATAATTTAATTAGTCCTTTGTCAGAAAAAATCAATTCATTTTTATTCTGTTTTTAAAAATTTGAATTTAAATTTTAGTAGAATTTGTATAGTTTGTTATACAATAAAAAGTGGTCCACTCTTTATTTGTTTTCTTTTTTGCAACAATACTTGGAGAACAATTTCAAGTGCAGGAGGTTCTTCTTAATTTTGTTTATATTTGAAAAATCAGCAAATTTCTAAAATTGATGATAGATGAGACTCAAAACATTAATTAATCATATTTTTCAAAATCTACAGTGGATTCTTAAAACTATATAAAATTCATGTGTCTAAGAGAGTAGATCTACGTCTTACAGATGTATAGATCTATGGATTTTTGTCACAACGTATCAATAGCGAATCAGTATAATTTAATCAAACAGCAAGATAAATAAAACATGCATATTAACAAATAAAAAAATGAAAATTTTTTTGTGAACGTTAGAGTGTACCATTATCGCAGTAGTTATCAACAGTGTCATTGCGGTACGAATCGCTTGGCATTATTATTGTCATCATCACTCTTCTTTCCCTTTTTTTCTTTAACTTCCTTTCTTGCTATCTTTTGCACTATTCCTTTCTCGCGTTCTGTGCGTTCTCTCGTTTCTCCATTCTCTCCCATTCTCTCTTACCTCTCGTACTCTAATTTTCTCTCTCGCTCTCTCTCTCTCTCTTGCACTCTTTGAATCTTTCGTTCTTCATAATCTTTCTCTCTTTAAGTTCGTCTATAGCTAGCCTCTGATAAAACTAAATTCTGGTAAATGAGAAGCAAGCTATTAAACGCCTTTTTTTTTTAAATATTATCTCTCCTTGTCGTCATTCTGCGCTACACGTTAATGTGATTTCCAGTTCAACAGTAAAACTTAGTATATGTATCCGTAACAAACGCGCACACGAACGTACACATACGTACAGTATCGAGCATTGTAGGCTTCCCTGGAAGAAACATAATGTAAGGGATGAAGGTTAATTGATAGAAAGCAAGTTAATTTTTTAATAACTTTCAACGTCTCAAAATTGTACAATTTAAATTTCAAAATTCTAAAATCCAAATATTTAAGTTGCCAAAAAATATTGATAATAAGATATATGTTAAACGAAACGTTTCCAAATAAACGTTTCCCTAGAGGAGCCTACTATGTTTGGTACTGTACACAGACGTATATAGCCGATCGGTGTTTGACGCGTGTGTGCGCGCGCGTGTGCGTCGCGTAGGTATTAAGAATAAAAGATATTAGTTTTTGTGCTGATATACAACAGTGTTGAATGATAATTCGATATACAGATTATACATACATACGTACTACGTACGGTTCGTGTGTACAAAGTGGAACACGCGAGAACGGATCAGTTAATTAGCTTTCTTCGTACTAATCATAATCAACTTCATCGGACCGAAATAATTCTGAAATCGTATTAGGTTCTTGCACGTTAAATGGCCAATTGTGAAATATAAAATGATTCGAATAAAATTAGATGCTCATTTTTTAACAAAATACTCGTACATTAGAAAATTATCTAATATCTATAGAAACAGTTTAAAGTTTAAAAAATGAAAGTGAAAAAAAAAAATGTCGAATTGGCCATCGAAAATTGTGATCGTTCTCACAGATCACTTTGTACGAAACGATGCAGAGATACATTTCGTCCACGATGGATAATAATTTACAAATATATTTCATGGAGTTAATGAGAGAATTCAGCGATATTAGTCCCATAGTAAGTTGGCGATAGAAAAAACCTGAATAAGTTATAATAAGTATGGATTCGAATAGTCGGCAATTTATGACAAAAAATGTATAATATAGAGTGTAAAATTCTTTTTTGTAATGTATCTATAGTATAAGATAGATGTATATGTATATATATACACGTGTTTTTATGCGTAATGTGTTACGTGTATACGAAGGATTAGTTTGTTTCTTCAATTTTTATCATGTACGAAGAGGTACAAAATTTATAGGTATAGAATAGGCTATGAGGTCCGAAATGCTATCTAATTCATTTGATTTGCGCCAATGATTCCATTAGTCGTTAATCATAACGAGGTTTATCATTTCTGTTGATACTATAAACTTATTCAATTATTTCATTATCGATACAACAATAATTGGCTTCAATCATCAATTAGAAAACGGAAGAATTTATAAATCCTTGTAACACGTTCGCTACCACTTTGAAAACAGATATATTTAATATAAAACACGATAATTTTTTAATATGCCATTTCAAATTAGCATCCAAAATCATTTTTTCTTTATTATAATATTTAATCATTGGTTATCTTTGTGATAGTCAACGTGCTAGCATTTTAACACGGAAACGATTATACATATAGACTTTCAATCGTTTTCCATGTATTCTTCCGTTTCTTTTTGAGCAGTGTCAAAAATAGTATCAACAGAATGACGGTATACATTCAATTATGAGGAATAATCGTCTGTATATATCTGGAACGCTCGATGGAATCGTAGACGAGCAAATTCTAGGATCAAGTGAACGTCCGTTGCTAAACTCTACCGCGCTTTTATAAACAAACGGTAGCAGTTTCGCATTGACCCTACATCAGGCATGCACAACGAGTAGTAAAACGTGCACGGGCGTCCGAGGTAGCACGCGGGCAGAGTAACGGGCACAGACTCGAATCAGCCTTTTAAACGTGAACCCTTAACAAGCACGCGGGCACTCGGCCGCGTTACGGGCAATTTCGTGTGCATGCCTGGCCTACATTGTTTAAAGATTGTATAATTCGGCCGTGCGCCAAGTACTGTCGCAGAAGAGGAGGAAAACGTAGGTTGGAGAAGATATTCAGCATTGAAGTGAACGGAACGAAAGTAGCTGATTGAATCACAGATTGAAAGAAGAAGATATAATCGAGAGTGAAAGAACGATTAACACTGGCCTGGCGATCATTTATGACTATTGGCGCAGTTAATATCGTTTGTGAAAAGAGAGCAACAAAAGATTGAGATCAGTTATTCGTGTTTCGAAGAGAATGCTCTGCACGTCGAAGTACGTCGTTAATAAACTCTGTACAAACATTAACAGTCCATTGGGAACAACAACGTTAATATCTCGATAAAACCCTGAATTAGAGAGCTTCGATCGTTCGTCAATTCTTCGACGTCGCAACGAATCCTTTGATCACGACGAGTTACCAAAAGCCTTCTCTCTTATCATTTCCTTATATCATCTTATGCAACGTAGCATGATTGTTCAACGAACACCGAGTAAGATTACACCGATACCGTGAAATATATAAATAAAAAATTGGTAAACGACCAGGTTTTGTAAGCATTCGTGCAACCGATAAACAATTCTATTACGAAAAGAAATGGTGATTGTCTGGTGTGAATAAAAGGAGCGTCGAATTTTTTTCAAACAAAAGAAACATCAATTTGATCGGTGCCTTTTGTACACCTTTTCTCAGCTTATATTAACAAATAGAAGTGTTTAATGCACTTTCTATACACCTAAGGAAGGCTCGACTAAGCTAGGTTTCTAAAGTTCGTACAACTATGTACTATCTCCATGGCAAAGAAAAAAAGAACAGCTTTTCCTTGATTTCGTGTGCAATTCATTGAGAACTCGTCGATACAATCAACGAAACGAATAAATGATAAGGCTACTGTCCTCCTTTGGCTTTGACGTTCGCCGGCCGTATATAAAATATTAATATAAATATTTGAGCCTCGTACGGTAGAACCTTGTAGTCGTCACAAAGTTCGTTCGAACCTTCCTTGTGGAGGGACACACGATATGAATGACGATGTAGATCCATTTAGAGCCTAGAACGATTTGTGCCTAAAGATGATTTTGATATCGATACATCAGTCTGAAATGATTAACATCAGCTCCGTGTTATTATCCGTATCGATTGTATCCATGTCCGTTAATCTATTCCTTGAATCGATCTGTCGTCGATAGTGACCAGTGTTGGGTAACTGCGCCCACGAGGCACTGATGGGTAGTCAATTTCTAAACTCGGAAATTTGAACTTTCGATACTTTCAAATTTCCACCTCTTCAATTTTCCAAATTTGTTAATTCGTAAATTCGATGCTTCTAAAGTTGAACAGTTGAAAATTTACTCGTGAGCTCTCTTCTTTTTCAGTTTGAAAATCTGAACTTTCTATACTTCCAAATTTCCAACTTTTAAAATTTGTTAATTTGTAAATTTTGTAAATTTGATCTTTCCAAATTTCTAAATTTCCAAATTTGAAAATTTGTCCGTGAGCTCTTCAGCAGGCACTTAATCCGCCCATCACTGGATAACGACGATCATTCGTTCGCGTAAGAGTCACCAAAAAGATTTACCCACGGAGCCGTAGTTTGGAACCTTACATTACATGAAACAACATATCATGCATATCCATTTAGTACATGTACAACAGGATACGACATTGAGAATTATACCAACGAAACCATCGATTTCTTGGATATCATTTTTCATTTTTAACGTGCCATTTTGTTATAGTATAGAGGAGAACGGTTAAATACATCATAGAATGCTGGACATTTGATGGAGATACTTACAAGCAATCGTAACACAAATAGAAAATCTGTTTACTTTACTTGAGGCCTTAAATGTGTCAGCACCCTGTAATTCACGAATTTACAATGTTTCCAATGATCCTTTCTTTTGTGAAACGTGTCAACGAAAGGATTCTCTTCGTCACAAACACAGATGAGAACTCTGTCTACTGTAACGTTATATTACAACACGTTACCGTTCTCCGTGTATACTTCGAATCGATACAGATGTCCTACATTGTCGTCCTTTATATCTTTCTCCTTTATTTTATTTTCTGAGCGGATGCCACATGGCGACAGGACGTCTCAGAGAAGTTAACATTTGCCTCCAATGATCGGAAGCTCTTACCGTTGTGGTGGGCCCCGCGATCACGTGCCCCACCACGAAGTAAGGTTTCGAGTTTGTGCCTTGTTGTTCTCCCGTTATTTCTGCTACGGTTAATCTTATCTGAATATTCTGAAAATAGATAAAGCAATTGGTAATTAATAAAAATCGTGAGAATCTAGTATGCAATGCGTGTACAATTATTCGAACCTGTAAAATATGAGTGGGCACGTTGAAAATAATTGCCTCGTTGAAGATCGGGCTCTTTTCTCCTCTCTTTACGGATGTTTTCTTCTTGTGGATCTTCTTCCCTTGTTGCAGTAGATAAACCTTCGTAACAGAACAAATACGATATTTACAAGTCGAGCAAACCCTAGATACTTGACACTTTCGGTAAAGTTCAGGGACCTGATAAAAATTTTAGTTTCACCCTTTACCTTAACGAAGAAGTCTCCGGGTATGAGATTAGCACCGCGTAGATTTCTAGCCTTCACAACAACTAGCGTGAGTCTCTCAGCTGTCGGCAAGTAACTCAAAGAGAACATCAATTCTCCTAATCGTGGAGTTAATATAATTGATCCAGTAAGAGGTAACCAAGTAGTTGTCGCCCTTGGCGCAGATCCAAGGCGTAAGCTCGCTTCTCCAATGAGGGATGCAACGCCACCTCTACTGGACTCGTCGGAAAACACCTTAGAAATTTAACATACACATTATTTACAATTGCAAAACAATTCACTTTGTTAAATATTTTTATTAATACGTACTTCGACAAGGAGAGTTCGGCCTGTAAGGCCACCATCGAGATGAAAAGGAAATTTCTCTTGATAACTAGGCGAAGGACTTGCTCTGTACAATCTGGTGCACTTCACGTGCATTTGTCTGTCGGGTAACAGACAAACTCTGAAATAAAGAGGGTTTTTAATTAAGGGTTTCTACTTGTCGAGCGAGTCATCTTGTGACGTCACGAGGATGTCGAGTTCGACCAGCTTGACATCTTATGATGTCGCTCGGACTGAACGTGTTAGAGATCGTAGCCTTTCTGATATAAGTAGATCTATCCAAATTGGTTCAAAAATGATAAATAAAGAGGAAATCAAACCTAGCAAAAGTATCTCGAGCTGGTTGACCATCAGGGGTGACGAGATCTCGGGCCTCGAGTACACTGACTGCAAGATCGCCCTCGTTTTCCCCTCCTCGTCCACTCCATTTATCGTATTCAATACCGACACAAACATGCCCGACGATAGGAGCCTCCTCCAGATCATTTAGAACTATACTCGTATCCGAGCATACACTTTCGCAGCTTATCGCCCTTTTTAGGTTAGATTCGTCCGGTGGAGGTTCTGGTTCAGGTCCTTGGGGTCCGCGACGACTTTCGGGACTGAACTCATTGTGATCGTTCATGCTGTAGTTCGTAATAAAACTGTCTTCTAAACTCTGTGAATTAAATCTCGTTTAGATATTTTATTATAACAATGAATTTTATTATATATATATATACCTGTGATAGTTTTCGTTTCAATTGCATTTCTTCCAATGCAGCGTAAAATTCTTGATTGTTTCTTTTCCTGTAAAATTACATAGAAATATTTTATTCAATGTGTACCCAGTGGATAATAATTGGAAGTGTACCTAAACGAGTCAGCGTCATCGAGCTCGTTCAATTCGTGGATGCCATTTAACCTTTCCATACTCTTCCTCCTCTGTTCGATGCTATTAAATATATCCTGAAAGTGATGTTCGTTAGACAGAACTCTAACTACAATCAGTATTTTTTCATACCTCTGAAGTTCTTGTAAAGCTAGGGTCGGTTATGTAGGTACAGGTATCTTGACTGTGACCTTTAAGCAATAACGGTGACGATGGAGGATCTTGTAAACTATTGTACACCTGTTGCAAAAATACAGTATAGCAATGTATGCATTCAAACATTATCGAATTAATTTATTTATGTCTACCTCTTGTGCAGTTCTGTGCGCTTCTAAATTAAGCTCGGGACTGTACAAATCTGAGCTACGTCTGGAACCATCGGGTCCCATCACGTCAGAATCATTTTCCCCGTACATATCTTGAACCTCATCCTGCAGTTGATTGTTGATGCTATCTTCCACGATAGTCGTAGATTTCGACGGGAAAGTGAATCGTTGAACTTGTTGCGCAGAGGATAGAACCGAACTACGATGGACAAGATTGATACGGTTATTAAAACAATATGGAATTTATTATTCCACAATGAAACATGGTAACGTACTTGTAGAAATCAGACGCATCGATGTAACTCTGCGAAGTAACCAGTCTGAGGGCGTTGAATATTCTCTCGCCGGTGGTTGGTTCGCTCTTTTTTGGCACATCTTTAGCATTATCAGGTGGCGCGGGGGGTGGCGGTATAGGGCTTGAGGCCGAGTCGTTATTGACCTTGATCGATTGCTGAATCGTGTCGTCGTAGAGGACGTGATCTTGATCTTGATCTTGGTGTAACGCGTATTCGTTCATCGAATCGTAAATAGGAAGATCGGGCAGGCTTTGGATGTACTGCGAGACCTTCTGCAAGTCTTGAGACTCCCGAAACAAGTAGGACGAGCCGATGTCGTCCTGAAGGCTGCAACTTCTGAAGGGAGTCATCTCGATGCTTTGCAGCTCGTTGCTCTTGTGATCGAGGTCATTGCCGAGACTCTGAGTGCTCTGAAGCATCTTAGACAGTGCCTCGGGCCCGTATATCGATTCCATGATGGTCTGGCTGGTGGCATTCGAAGAATTCGTCATACCGAAACTGCTCGGAGATCCTCTTGAGTCATTCCGTACATGTTGACGTATCATGTGACCCCTTTGGACGATATCATAGTTCCCGTAGCTCGTGTTGCTCTCGTCGTCTCCTTTGCCATCCAAGCTAGTTATGGGAGCACCGTGAACTCCGTACCTGATCCTGGTTGATTCGACAGCCGTATCGTATTGCCTGTAAGGATTGCATCTATTCTCTTTTCGTCGTTCCTCCTCTTGCAGTTCGTATCTGAGCCTTGAGTCGATGTGATTCTGTCCTCCGTACGGTGTCATTTGAATACTCTCCGTCGCGCTCTTGGTCGCGTTCTCGTCGAATCTGAACGAAGTATGCTCGTTCGATGGCTTGTGCATACCGTAGCTTTTAACGGGTTCGTTCTGGAAGAGAAAGACCGAGGAGGGACCGGTCGATCTCGAGGGAACGTGCGCTCTTTGTAACGACGGCGGTGGAGTTAGCGGACCCGGACCAGCCTCTGACATTCTCAGGTAGTCTACGGCACTCGATGGTTGAAGTGGCGCTGGCCTTGGTCGTGCAGTTGGCCTTGGTTGAGGTGCTGGCCTCAAAGGCTGCGGTGGTATTGTACTACCGGTTGTAGCACCCAAAGGCGGATGGAGATCTCTGTCCACTGATTCGAATCTGTAAATATTACAGGTTTACAATAGTACTATTCCTTTTGTGCGAATTTCGAACACGTTTCGCATTTACGCTTCCAGTATCGTGTATTAATTTTATTCTTTATTTTTAATCCGCAATTTCCTTCCACCTACGCGATTGCGTATCTTTTTCAATCCGACCATGGATTATTTCGTAACAGGTGGCCTTTACTGTTATTCGCGCTCGGTTAATATCTACTGTTCCATGTTAATGATTTAGCATAAATCGGAACGCAAATTTTGCCTATGGATGAATAATTAAAATGTAGAATATTGGTCAACCAATTCCAAATGAAATGTGCATCGAATCAGTAGCGCGATTTTGACCTCCAATCTCATTACGCATCGATCAGGTAATCGAGTAGAAATCGCGTGTTTATTAAAAAAAGGTCACGTAATTTATTTTATCAATATAGATGCGATCCATAGAGTCGAAGCGATTTTGCGCAGTGCATGTTTTCCAATTTTGCAAGTTTTTCGTAACGTTCGTTAATGATTCTATAAGAGCGCGGTAGTAATAAAAAGTCAGTGTTACGTGAGAGCAATAATGATTCATTAAAACGTAACGCTTTTAATAATGCCGCATGCTGTTACTCGGCAGTAAGTTGCGTTCGAGTCAAGCTATTAATGGCTTTACTCAATTATTCTGAGTGCTCGTTCTGCAAAAAAAGAACTTACTGTCGTGCCATCAGGCGTGTGTCTGGGTCAGAAAATTGCCAATATCGGCACAACACTTTGACACTGTTCGTTAGCGATACAAAGTTATCTGCTAATGTATCAATAACTGGGCTTTCATTTTCGGAAGTGCTATAAATCAATTTTGAAAATCGATCTTTGAAAAGAGCATAAATTTTATTCTAAGGAAATTCTTAGAAAATATCCCAATGGAACTTTGAACAATATTTTTAAATAAAGAAAAGTGGATCATTAAAAAACTAAATTTACAGCAACATTACGTTAATAATCTTCCCCCATTATAACTCAAACTTCGTTGCCACCTCGTCACTTTATTTATTGACCCTATACGCGATGCTTCTATAATTAATCAAATTCCAGCTAATTAGGTAATATCGTCAGAGTTCATTTTGCTTGTACCTGGTAAAAGCTCCTTGTGCATCTAGTCTGAGATCACTGTCACTGTGGAGCAGATGTTGCGACGTGTTTCCAGGTTGTCGACACAAGCCAGGGATCGTCTGTGCTGTTGGGTGTTGTGCTTTCACCAGACCAACCTGGAAACACGAAAAATACCACATCGAAACGTATTTGACGCAAGAATTACGTTAGACACTTCAGTTGACTTACCTTTTCTTCTCGCGGTGCCCATAACCAAGACAACCTTTGTCGCCATTCTTCACAGACGTTCCAAATATTCCTAGTGCCCCATTGCCAGCCAAGACAATACCTAAATTCAAAGTGCATCAGTTTTTAATTTTGCAATTTGGCGAGTTCAGAATCTTTGAATTTTATTTAGAGTAACTGCAGAAAGGGAGGCGTTTAGTGTGATAGAGTGTTCGAGCAACGGGAGACTAGTAGCAAGCTCACGTAGGGATATGCTATTATTAAGCGAATAGAGATATGCGTTGATCAAAGGGGTCAGTGAGAAAATCAATTTCAGTAAGCGCGGTGTTAAAGGTAAAATAAAATTTTGCTGCATTCCTGACTAATATTCAATTAACCGATCTCTTGCAAAACGAAAGCTTAGAACGATTTATTTTGCTGAAACTTTTATGTCCCTCCGTCGAGTGATATTTATTTTATGGTGCTATATTAGGTAGAAACGCTCGGTAAAGTAGCGTTATAAATTCTAATTCGTACGAGCTACTTGAGATGATTGAGTCGCATATATAATATATTCGTACCTTTTCAACTAGACACGCACGATATTCTTATATAACACGGTTTGGAAAACAATTTATAAAAGTACTTTTATTTCTTGTTTGAAATACTATTTTATCCAGCATTGGTATTTTTCTTTGAACTCGGAGGAGTGTTTACTGTTTCGATTTACTTGAACAAGAATGGAGTCATGTACAGAAAAGGGCAGATAAGAAGTTCCTGATACAATTGGTGACTGAATGACCCTTTAACCTGTTGCACGTGTAGCATTTACCAGTATTCCCGAGTATATTCTTACGTAATACGAGAAAATGCTGGGAAACGTGAGCCTTGACTTTAAAAGAAAAATATCAAACCCTTTGTTTAGATTTAACAAAATGTTGCAATTTCATAGGTAAAAGGTCACAATAGTTGTAGCAGTTTAAAGATTTTAAAATTGTCATTGTTGATTTCATAATTATTATATGTACACTTACTATGCAAATTGGAAAATATATTATTAAATTATTTCTATCTATTTTAATTAAAAAATTGACTAACCCTTTGTGGAAGAAAATGTTATTTAGAAGAAACAAAATACTTTCAGTATGTTTATAGTGTTTTCAGCAGACAAGTTAAAGGGACGGACGGTTTTGCCTCGAAGCTCGAACCTCTATTAACAAACTAGAACACATCAGTTTCCCTTTGTTTCATAAGCTCTTTAATAAAAACTTCTGTTGCAAAGATTACACAAGAAATCTTGGACTTTTCAAAATATAAAGTAGTTACAACCTTCTGCTTTTGACAGAATCGAATTTAGAAATTGTTAGATACAACAAACATTATTTTTCCTGCATAAATATTTAAGTAATTCGAAAGGGATGTTATCAAGGGATGCGTTAGTTAATGAATAAAATGGGTGGTTAAAATGGTGGTGCAATCACCTTCTGCACAGTGCCAGGGCGGCACCAGCCACGACGACAATGATCAAAGCCACCCCAAGACCGGTGAGTGTCCAACCCATCCTTCTTAATACCAAATCCAGGCCCAACCACAAATCCAATCAAACCGCCGAGCCTGAAACACACGGAGTAAATCCATGGACAGCATGATCCGATTACAGTTACAGAACCAACATTACCCGTGGATTAACGATCTTACGGCTACCTGTATTGTATATTTATTTGTATGTTGGTCTGTGTATTAACTGGATCTTCAATATTAGTAAATATTCAAGATGCACAGTGATAAATTATATTTCTTGTTCAGAGCTTCATCAGTTTCCATTATCATTTATATTATCAGAGAAAAAATGAAGAAATTATCAAGTGGTATCAGAAATATCGAAGACGCTATACTTGGGTCTGGGAAAGATGGTCGCAAGGGTCGTCCATTTTTCGCACAGAGGGTAATGCTCCCTCTTTTATCTCAGACGTTTTGACACAAAGTACGTGTGGCTTAGCTTAGATGTAGTCATGCACTCAGCTTCTTTCAAAAAAAAAAAAAAAAAAAGGAGGCACAACGGGGTGGTTAGGGTTAGGCGTGGAGCAAAGAGGGATGGGAAGAAAGCGCAGCCCAACGTGTATCTGAAAAAATAGGCCAAGCCAGCAGAGTCGGTGAACTTTGCTCAGATACTTCGACGGGCATTCAACGAACATCAGCAATCCGCCCCTTCGAAGAAGCAATCCGCTTTTCAAGTGTTATAGATATACGCGATCTAACTTGTAAACCATCCCCGCACACTCTCACGCAATATTCCAAAACGCGATACTCTTCGACGCAGCATTTTTATGAGCAGAAAATTGTTCTGCTAACGCTTCTTTGTTCCTTTTGACTTTAACTTTGATCGTTTTCCGACTTACCACGGCCTGGATTATTATTTTCAACGTACTTCGTGGTTTTCAGGTCATTTAATCCTAACGATGCTTAACTTCAAAATGAAAAGAGATCGTTTATATCGAAAATGATGAATTATTAGTTTTAATAGTTTTTGTAGAATCTTTTGTTAACGCGAATATTTTACCCAAATGATCACTTTCCTTTTATAATAGTCATTTGAACTTGATTTTCATGATAAATGTTCATGTCATAGAAGCTTAATTTCAATGAAAATTTTCAAACGAAATAAATTAAAACAGTGTACATCGGGTAAGGGTAATATGGTAATTATTGTATATAATGAATGTTAAAGGGAATGAGAAACGAAAAAGCAGGGAACAACAATTGTACGAGTATTATGTTAAAAAGAAAATACGAGCAAACGAGTGGTACTAGAGAAAAGAAAAGGTTCTTATGGCGTTTCTTATTGTTCCTACATCTGGCTTAATGATATTTAAGTCGCGCAAACCATTATTTCCATTATCATTCTACGTAAAAGATAAAATGTTCTTTGTGTAGCGTATAATATTAATTCAAGAAACCGTAAGTACTTAGTTCGTGAAAAATAAGAAAGAAATTCTAAATGGTACTATTAAATTAAATTGGTTATGCTATATTCGTTTTATATTTGACGAGAGTAAAATCTTCGTGTTGCAAACGAGTAACCGAGATTTTTGGCAGACTGAAGAAGCCCAGATGGACGAGTAGGATAAGATTTAGCGAGAAAGGTAGGGGATGGTTGCAGGTTGGTAGCGGTACTTCGCTTTTCCCCATCAGAGACAATGGTAGCAATTAGTGGCGTGTAAGATTTCAGCCCGGGGCTGTAGGAAAAAGAGAAAGAGATTCTCTGATTCTCAAGTACATTCATTCAGGGGCTAGTCTCTTTTTCGCTCTCTTGACGAGACCAAGGAAAAAAGGGTCACGAAGTTACTTTAGGAATGTACATACAATCGAGCTTCAATGATTTATTGATCTATTTGAAGCCCATCAAATATCGCTTCTGTCAAGGTCTCGGAAAAATCAATAAATATCAACCCTTTTACGAAGGACGTACGTGTATACATTCTTATTCAAACGTCATAGAACATTTAATTATACGATATAAATTATTTTAATTATAGAGCTCAATTTATGGATATACGTACATGCAACATTAGAAACAATAACAATTCAAAAGCGTTGGAAGTGCTTCGTGTGTGTTGCAAACAATAATACATATTAATGATATGTAAAACTTGCCATAGATACATTAATATATTACACTGTTAATATTTATAGAATAACTGTTGTTTGATTATGATTTATTCATAATTTAGTTATATCTACTTTGCTGCCCATTTACACTTTCAAATAAAATCAATTTTTAAACCTGTTATATGTAAAAATTAACATTGTTAGGTAATAAAAAATGAGAAAAGATATGAATGGGTTTATAGTGACCCACTTACAGGTCCCCTCAGGACCATTAAAGTGTCTGTGCTTGAGGTATTAATTATTTAATTCCTTTTTTAATATTTATTTAACCTGATTATCAGTCGAATTTTGTTCCCACGTTATAAATAGCATGGATCTCTATTGTTGTAAACGCGTAAAAGCGCATTGTATCTTTTGAGAATCCAGAATACCGGGGTAACACACGCGAAACGGCGGAATAAGGACCAGTAAGTAGAGAATATCAAAACTAGGTCAGACCGGTCTGCCTCTGCTTACATTTGTGTCACTGTGTCAAGGTAACTGATGTTACATGTATACCTACAAATTACGAGCAGTTGATTAAGACGAAAAAAATTCGTCAGTCGTTTCTGTCTTCTAGTATTTGACACGGAATCATATGAAATAAAACTGTCTCTACCATGATTTTTAATATACGTATGAATATATTCAAAGATTTTTATTTAAAACTAGCAGAATTAACCAACATTGCTCGGTGTTTCAGATTTGGAATATTCATAGATATTTAAAAAGTAATTAATTTTATTTTGCAATTTTATAACAAATAGCCTGTAGCCTAATTCTGTTTCAACTATAGGTTTATCATTTCATTTTTACACACGGTGACCCTGTATTGATGGCACAGTCGAGAAACGGAAGATTTTACGTGTAACAATAACTAAAATAAAACGGTAGAATAATATTTAGGTTTGTTTACGAGAAAATTGAATCTTAAGCTTTTTTAAAAAAGTTTGTTTAGCCAACGAACATAACAGCTTTATATCGATTGTACCATGAATACATCTTGTAAATTACAATAGAATAACACTTGATAGAATTTTCATAATATTCTGATTCATTAGAAACTATAAAATTGTTTGATAGGATTTTCCTTTTTCTCGTCGAATTGTATTTTAAACTAATCTTCGTTCATGACACGTACAGAAAAATTCTTCTTTTGGTTGGAATTCAATACGTTGCTCGTTGTATCAAATTTACACAGGTTCAAGTTACTAGAGTTTTACATGAAGTTACGAGATCGGAATTTTTACATCACGTCGTGAATAATTCACACGTGAACCTCGCTCATTGTTGCGTGCTCGTTCACTTTGACTCGTTTTATTTTCCCAGAAATGTACGCCATTTCGAAAAATCGTCACCGATTTTTCCATTTTATATTTTTCTTTAAGAACAATACAATTTTTTAAGTATGCAAATATTTAGTATGTTATCCTTGTTCTTTAATAGTTTGATGGCTTAGAGATAAAATGAGGTTAAACAAATATTCTCGTTCTCCATATTTATGAGTATATTATGGTATTTATCGAACTACCTAGCAAGTATCTTATCAAAATTCGTTGCAGTGAATTGCGGCCTGAATAATACACGTCAGAGCCGTTCATGGTCGTAGAATATTGATACGAATATTTTAACGAAGTAAATTATCATTTCTTAACAACTTGATAGGTAAAGATTAAAACCAGCTTTATTTTACATCCAACACGTTCAATACAAGTGTATGAAAAACTTTTTTAATTTCTAGCTTGTGACTTGCACAATTTCACTAACAGTATAATATTATTATAGTTTAATTGTGCGAAAGTCCAAGAAAACTCATTTTCTCTACATTTGTTCCTCGCATTTCTCGCCAGCGCTCGTTTGCCGGCACTTTACGCTGTTTTTCAATATTTTATTTCGAACTTCCTAGTGTCTTGCATAGATGGGTGTCACGTTCATATGAGAGAAACGTTTCTACTAAACAATGATTAGCATAACAAGAAGAAGCTCGTCTGCACCGGTAATCGAGTGGTCTCGATCGATCGGGTCGTCGGTCCCGTCTGTCGGTATACGCGGCTGCCGGAGTGCTGCAGGTTCGTTGCACTTTCGGCCGCATTCGTAAAACTGCATATGCCACTGCACCATCGAATCCGCTGTCCGCTTTACAAAGTATTCGCGATAATTGAATTTTCTTCTTAATCGTTTCGATCGCCATACGGTAGTAATATCCGCGTGCGCTGCAAGTGTTAACCACTTGCTTTATGATATTCTCAGTAATTGGATTTGTTAGAGTTAATTATTCGCTATTACCATAATGATCATTTCGCCACTGTAGCCGTCCGGGCACAAAGCGTTTACGTTTGAAATTATAGCAAAAATGCAATATGAAAATTCTTTTACGACAATCAGAAAGTAAAATAATAAAAATAACCGAATTAACAATTTGATTAAAGGAAGAACAAGTTTATCATTGTCAGGAGATTCTACTTGTCGCTTTGTTAGGGATCTCTGCAAACTAGCTAAGTTATACGAAACTCGAGGGGTAGAATTATGAATATTCGTCCGACAAACGATATTGCAAATGTATTCTTTGCGACGTTGGAAAGAAGCAAAGGGACTTCGAAGAAAGACGTGAGAAAATAAGAGGCGGTTTTGTGGTGTCTGCGATGCATATTCATAGAAGTCAACGAGGGTGCACAGCTATGAGATGTCTGCTCCTTTCGTAGGGTCGTCGTAATAATCTAACATTCATTTCATCGTTGAGACATGAAAAACGCCAAGTATTGCGACCCTTTTCACAAGAAATAAGGGAATTAAAGAGAAAAATGAAGAATATTAAGCGGTTATAATTATTCGAATTAATTGTAGTATGGTATCCTTTTCTCTAAGAACGTCTATGACCAATATCGTGAAATGAAACGAAACCATGGGTGTCAACGACGAAGCTGACCAAAATGGTTCGCGAGAAGCATAGCCAGGGGGTTGATTAA